CCACCCTAATATGACTCTTTCCAACTGTTAGGCATGCCACCGCATTAAACTTACTTTCAGTTTGATAGTTTGGATAGCATCACTTTCTATAGGTAGCATATCTATGCACATAATCAGGTCTAAAGGAAGAGATCACTACAAAAAGTTAAGAACATTAAAAAAAATTAACTCTGGGGCTGGGGATTTGGCTCAGTGTTTCCTCCACCTGCCTCGCAAGTGCAAGGACCAGAGTTCAATCCCCAGTACCATAAATAAATAAATAAATAAATAAATAAATAAATAAATAAATAAATAAATAAACTCCTACATCAACTTTCATTTAACACCAATACTGATGCTAATTTAATAACTTCTTAAATCTCAGATATAAAAACCAGTATTTGTGTGATACTGCTAAGATCTAAGATACCCCTTTTCTTTTGGAAATGCATAGTAAAGACAAAATTATAAGCATGAACTGAGTATTCACGTGGATTCAGACAAAACAAAAGCATGTATTATTCTGACAGTAGATTTTAAAGTCCCGACTCCCTTCATGCATTGGTGTAAGAGATGTACAAAAGAACATCTGAGTTCCCGTTTTATCATACTTTCTAAACAGTAAATTCAGCTCTCTGCCTCATCTAATCTTAAATTTATTTGATAGTTTGGGGAAAATATCACAGCATTTTTATATTTTTATATATAACTAAAGCATGAATTGGAGAGCCAATCAAGTCATTAACTTAAAATTAGTAGTGATTAATGTAAGCATTGTAACATACCCTGTCACCTCCACGTTTGTCACATTTAGTGGAGAAAATTCAGAGAATTCTTCCAAAACAGCAATCAACAAGCATGATTAAGACGATTAAGGAGCTTACTGAAAGCCATAAGGAAAAAACTTCTTCACGAATCATGATAAAATGCTTCCTAAACGAACCAGACTTTGTCCCAATACTTCTATATATGAAAAGTCACATTCGTTTCTCTGATGTACATAAAAAACTTCAAAATCTATTGTATGATTAATGTAGGTTTACATTTAAAAAAATTGGTTGTGACAAGATAAGCAATACATCTTGTTATTACAATGATTATCTTCATAATCTCATGAAATTTTCGTTTTATTTACTAAAAGAGCAATCTGACATACAAAAGTTTTGTTTCTTGTCTGTGTGTGTGTCTGTGTTAACAGTGCAGCAGCCATAACAAAGAGTGTGGCCGTGGTAAAGAAAGCATGGTTCTAGAAACTAGCAAAGCAATTAAGAGCATTTTACGACAACCCCTACTGCACACTATGATAAGCCTAATAGTATTTGGTCACATTTACCTGTCTCTCTCTGGAGAATAATGATCGTCCACAACACGGTGTCTCTCCATTCGGCCAACTGTATTATAATGTCCAGGCGCCATGCGTGTCCCTCGAAGTCCCTGTTCCACATTCCGACTAAAACAGCAAGAAACATTAAATATCCCAGTAAGCCACAAGCATATACTAAGAAATGAAGTTTATTAATGAAAATAGAAACAAAGTCACTGTAACGCCAAGTCCAATTTTTTTCTTTAACTATATATATCTTGGCCAACAGGATAAATATCCGTTGGACACTGACAAGGAGATTGCTGCTGTAAAAGAAATACAAGTTGAGAAGAGCCCAACTTAACCCAAAATCACTGGAAATGAGACAAGGATATCAGAGCTCTTAGTGAGTGACTCCCAGGTCTCAAGAGGTGAAATTCAAGAGGAGAAGCAGGTGTGTGTGGGCAACAGGTCCGCGTCACACGTGCTTGTTGACCTGGTCTACACCAAGGGAGCCAGAGGCGCTGCACAGGCAGCAGACAGGAGTTCAGAGCTCAGGAGAGCAGCTCGAACCACCCACTTCTAACCACACCCTTGGCAGCATCTGGGGGCCAAACGGCCCTCTTCACTTGCTGCCCGTAACAGCTGCCTTCCATCTTCCCCAGTCCAAACAGAACACACACCCACCCTCTGAGACACAACTGAGACCATGGCGCCTCCAATTATAGAAAGGCAAGAACTTAGAATTTAGTTTTATGCTACAGGTGAACTGGTTTTCCTGTCTTTTCCAATCCCCTTTCCATATTAATTAGTAGTGCCACCATCATTAACACATTGAGTTCATATAAAATACACAGACATACGTTGCACTACCCTATTCAGTATGTCTATTATTATGCATGAGTTGATGGTAAAGTTTTCTCTTCTTTTCAATTTGGTCATCTGTACACCTTTTCCATTTCATATAAATTCTTATATATGTCAAATTTCAAAAACTGCACCTACAATGTTGATGGATAGGGCACTATAGATTAATTTACGCAGTACTGAAACCATTCTACTCCTGAGTAAGATGTATTACTTTTATCCAAAGTTCTACATTTTTCTAAGAAGATCTTGTGACCTGTTAGATGAGTTACCATACACTTTGCGTTGCCTTTGAGATTTGTGTTTTTGAAACTCATTACATTTCCTCATCTGTTATTACTCAATTTTGCAAGTTGTTTTAAGGCCAGCTATGTGGTAGAACTCCCACATTAGTCTGAATATTCTGGTTATCCTATTTTCTATGTCGATAAACCCATTTTTAACAAATAATGACAGTTTTATTTCTTCCTTTCCAATTCTCTCACCTCTTTTTCTTGCTTTACAATATTTTTCAGGACTGGATGTACTATCGTATTCATGACATTATATAATAAATGTAAATACCTAGTTTTTCTTTAAGTATATGCTTACTTTAAAAAGCCTTTATGAACTATAGATGGTTCTCTTCTACTTAGTTTACTAATTGAATAATACAATTATTTTTCTATATGTAATGAGGTTTATTTCCCAATTAGTCCTTTATGTGATGAATTACCAAAACAGATTTTCTGGTGTCTACTGTGTTTTTAATTCATGGCTAAATTTAGTTGGTCATATAATATTTTTACATCTGTTTGTAATTAAAATGTGCTTGTAAATTTTTCTTACACCATGAGGATTAGACGTAGGCTTACACTGGCTCAGGAAAAGAGCTACACAGCTTTCTTTCTTTTTTTTGTTTCAAGAGTCGGTCAAATTTAACAGAGAGATATGTTCTCAGCAGCTTGGTGAAAAACTATCTACAATAATTTCTTACTTTGAACATTTTAAATGGGAAAAGAAGAGGAGTGGTTTGACCTTGAGTACTATTTCAATATAGTGAAGAGTTGTTGGCTCATTTAATTGTCCTATTTCCTCTTGTTCCAATCTTATTTTCTTTCAGCAACTTAAATATTTCATCTAGATTAGCAAATATAATAGCATGCTTTATTTTATTTTACAGCCCATTACTTGTCTTGCTTTTCTAGTCTGTTTATTGGCAGTTCCTTTATCCCGCTACGCAATGCCGTAAGTCTTTTCACAGAACCGGCTTCATAGTTAGAGTGCACTCTCTCCCCTCTCTCTGCTGCTTTTCTCCCACGGTCTGCCTCATTCTCCCAGTGTATGGACTTTGCCTTCATCTACATCATTCCTCCTATTTCACTGATATCCTGTTGTTCCACATTCAGTTTCCCACTTCCAGTGCTTATTTGGGTTCACAATTTACTTGTTTTTAATTGACATCTAAAAACTAATACTGACATCTAAAAACTTATACATCACACCACACACACACACACACACACACACACACACACACACAGATACGTATGCAGAGCAGAAGAAGTGCATATGTTGTATAATGGCTAAACGAAGCTACCTAACATACATATTACCTCCATACATGGTGAAAACACATAAAATCTACTCTTAGGAATTTTCCAGTGTATAATACATCATTGACTATAATCACCACAATATACACAACACACACACACACACACACACACACACACACACACAGATACGTATGCAGAGCAGAAGAAGTGCATATGTTGTATAATGGCTAAACGAAGCTACCTAACATACATATTACCTCCATACATGGTGAAAACACATAAAATCTACTCTTAGGAATTTTCCAGTGTATAATACATCATTGACTATAATCACCACAATATACACAAGATGTCTGAAACTGCTTACTTGGGTCAAACTGAAATCTTGTGTCCTTCGGCCAACATCTCCCTAGTCTGCCCACCTCCCGCCATTTTACTCATTTCTACGACGTCAGCTTTTAGCTTCCAAATGTATGTGAGATCATATGATGTTTGTCTGCATATGTCTGCTTTATCTCACGTAACATCTTCCAGGTCCGTCCATATTGTCACACAAAGAGGAACAAAGTTTCCTGTTTTTGAAGGGTGAACACTATGCCAGTATGTATATATACCATATTTTTATATGTACACCATTCATCCACTGATGGACACAACAGGCATTCCTTATCTTAGCTATTGTTACTAACGCTACAATAGTCATTGTAGATATCAGTAATATACTAATTTCATATCCTTTAAATATATGCCAGAAAACACAATTGCAGGATTATATGATAGTTCTGTTTTTAATATTTGAGGCATCTCAACCCTCATAAATGACTCTAATTTGCATCGCCAACAATATAGTATAGCTCACATTTCTCCACATCATATATAAAATAATCTCATTTCACCATGTCCAATCTTTTTTATTTTTGAATAAATTTTTTTCTTAAGGTGAAAATTTCCTAAATATTATCTGTGCCCCGCAAATTCTTAACATGATTTTCACTGTCATTCAATTCTAATATTTCAGTATTTCCTCCTCACTATTTAACCCACACCCAAGTTATTTGGCAGCATTTTAGAAGTTCCAGGAATTCAAACACTATCTTTTTTATAGGTTTATAAATACATTCCCTAGTATTCAGATAAAATGATTTATATAGGATTTATTGAGCTTTCCTTTTTCACCATTATTTTTACCAGTTATTTTTAAATGTTTTTTCCTAAAAGTTACTTTGCAATCTTTGCTTGGATGGTGTGGACCTTTACAGAAAAGACAGAATATAGGTTTACTTCACACAATAAATTTCAGTGAACACATATATTATTTAAATCTTCTAAGCCACTGCTATGAGAAGGCGCCTGGTTTAGCTACTGACTTCTATTAAGCTATGTTAAGATCTCCTTAAGATCTCTAACTACTGTTTCTCTGTCTAGCCATTTGGGTTGTTGTTTTGTATATTTTGAAGATTCTTATTGTCCATGATCATGATGCCCAGTCTTTTCATTCGTCTTCAGCGTGCCTCAAGACAAATTTGGAAAGATACTGCCTCCTAGAGAACCGAGCTGCTGAGGACACAGGTGACCGAACTGCAGGGCTGAGTTTGGCCCTCTGTCATCCAGCCTTTATGTAAAGTGCAGGTTCTACAATTCAAATGGGTAGAAACTCTCAGACCTTTTAGGTTTAGTATTCTGCATTTTTCCCCAAGTATATATATCGTTTCTATAACATTTTTGATCCTAGTTTACACTTTTTGAAATTGGGATTCCAATTTCTTTTGGTCTCTATATGCTGATTATGTTTTTCATTACTTTGTTTTCATACTACGTTCTTACCTTAAGTATACTGTCTATATGCAACATATTGGTGGATCATATTTTAGGGATGATGACTTATTTTATTTTAAAATCTATACTGAAGTCTCTGTAACTGATCAATGATAGTTACCTTAGCTATTATTCTTCTCTGGAATCCATATTCACATTTATTTTTCAATTTGTTTTAATGTCTAACCTCTTGTGATGTATGCAGTTGAATCTGATCTAGAACCTACAACTATTTTCTATTAGATGGTTCAAACTTTCTTTCTTTGGTAAAAGTAACGCTATGATATAATATGAAATATATTTAGTTTTTGTTCCTGGTTCGTGACACAGAGTTCCTAAAAGCCTTGAAATTTTCTGATTTCATTATCTTTTTTCATGCCGAACCCCTTTGATAATTTCTGAGTTTATGGTAATGAGGTTTCATTAGGTGGGACCCTACATAGCCTTAGGATGGGACCTCTCACCAGAAAATCAAGTGACTCCAGGATGAAGGCATTGGAACTTATACTCTACTCAATGACTTCTTGAACATCAAGATCTGCTGAGTTATCGGGCTGCATAAGATGGAGAGGTGCGGAGAGTGCAGCACGGCCACAGCGGGTATGGAAGCCCCTTCCCTGACCCCAGATTTTGCCCTATCCTGACCACTGAATGCAAGTAAGCCATGGGGCTAAGTTTGTAAGCTCTGCTAACAAATGATCTAGCCCAAAGAGTGGGGTTGTGAGAACTCCAACTGATAGCTGCTCTTCAGTGAAATACAGATCACCTCCTGGCACCTGGCACTGGACTCTGAAGTGGAGCCAGTCTCGTGGGATCTGACACTCTCTCCAGGAGACAGTGTAACAGGCCTGTGTTAGGGGTGCTCAGCTGGTGACTGGTCTGTGCAAACTGCCTGATATGAGAGGAAAAAAAACACATCTGGTCACATAGTGCTCTGCAATGAGTGCAGAAAGAGGAACGTTTCACCTATATTCTTTGTTCTTTCTTTTTGTGGAGGTGAAATTATTTTTTAAGTTATTAATTCAGAACTAGTTCTCGAAATTTAAATGTCAAATTACAGATTTTATTCAGCGATAAACCTACAGCATTTGAGCAATTACTTTTCAGTAACATTTTAGTAATTATAGTCCTATTTACAAACGTATTTAATTCAACACCTTCAAACATCATGAACTATATTTATAAATTTCATATATTATATTTTCTTTTTAAGTTTTGCAATTATCTAAATTAAGTAAACCCATTTTGATTGATTTCTTTGTAAATTAAATAGGTTAAATTTATAAAAATAATAAATCTAATGTTCTCCTAGTCCAATGTGTGTAAAATTAAGATTCAATTAAAATTAAGTCTAAAACGAATTCCACCGAAAAGGAGTTATAAGGCTGTTAATCTAACTAGTGACGTTTCCGTCAACATTATAAACATATAAGATGGAGCATGGTGCATCTTTGCTGAGAGCCTGAACTGTTACTTCCATGATTCTTCCTCCATCAGCCCCTCTGTCCTTCACTAGACTGACTGGAACTTTCCACTAGAAGCCCTGGTGCTTCAGATTTCCCGAGCCTCTCTTCCCACAGCTCGTGCACTCCTTTCCACTCTGCTGATGACCGCTCCTATTTCCAGAGGACAATCAGGTGTTTGCTTTTCCTTTTTCTCAAATTACCAATACTCACAGCATTCGTCTGCAAAGTTAGACCGAACTGCGTCTGCCTAACCGGATATGTGATTTAAATGCTTCTTATTTTGAATTCTTACAATAAAGTAACACATAAGTTATCTAAAATTTCAAAGTAACCCATGTTTTTCTTATTATATAGGTTACTGAATAACACTGTGTTTCCCTTAAATAACTTTTTTCCGTAAGTCTACGACTCGTTTGCAAATGTGCTGAGGTGCTGCACCCCAGGTAAAATGCACGCGCTGCTTTACCTCTGGGGTGGGGGGACGCTGGGCGACCACGACCGCGTCCTTCCTAGGGCGTCCACTCGATGAGGAGACCCTGACGGTGCACAATGGCTGGATGACATTACTTGTTCTGGCACTGACAATGTTGAGCTTTGAAGATCTTGATCATTGTGTCGGTAATCTAAGGCAGAAAGATGAATAAATACAATAATCTAGATATTAACCCCTCTGTGTGCTTTGTACTTGACTCAGAAACAGTAAACACTGGTGAAGCTGAAGGAATGTGAACATGGTAAATACAGATTGCAATGGATAAAGCATAATATTAAGAAAAATACTGTATAAACACATACATAAAAAGAATGACAAATATTCAAATTTTAGAATTACTATACTGTTAAATACAGTATAATTTTTATGCGTACTTACACATACAGTAAGTTGTTTATACAGAAAGAAGTTTATATACAATTATCTTCAATAAAAAACTCAAGTTTATACTAAAACCATGTTCATGTCTACAATGACCTAGAAGTTTTAAATACTTCTCAACAATGACTAATTTTTAAGGTTATTAAGGTCACCAAAACAATCCTCAAAGGCTATAGTTATTTCCTTAAGAGATAAACCATATTAGGAAATAACCTGCCATTTGAAGTACATATGTGAACTCGTTTTCTGACATTATTTAACAGGACTGAGATACAGAAGACCGAGGATAAAAATATGACAAATCAGAGAAGGGAAACAGCTAACGATCTGATACACATGAGTATGAAAAGAAACACAACTCAAATGAGTACTAGAAAGCAACTTGTATTTGAAAAGATTGAGAAGAAAATAGAATCCAAGGTTGGAAGAAAAACAGCAGTTCACTGTGGAGTGCTGTGGGGATATAAACAGAAACAGCAAGCTTGACCCAAGTTGTACACATCTACAGCGTCGTGAAGTGTGTGGTGTGGAGAAAATGAACACTGCCGCACAAGAAGTGATATTAAACCATCCTCAGAGTCTCCTCATGCTCCTTCCAGCTGTGAGTAACTGACCTTTTACTCCGTCCTAGAAACTCTGCTGGGCGCCGTACAAGGTAGTTTTGCTACAACATTTGTTCCAGAAATCACTGAGCGAATGAAGGGATAACCTAGCAGTACAGCTTGGACTTAGCATGTACGAGGCCCTGGATTTGAGTCCCAACTCCCACAAAAACGCTCAGAAAAGCAATTGATAGTTATGTGATTTTTTTTCCTAGCATGTTAATATTTTATACTATTATCTTATCTTAGATTCCCTCAAATCAGAGCAAGAGACAATTCAGATACATCTGAGTAAGTACAGGGAAGTTTCCAGAAAAAAAGGAGAGGAGAGCAAGGAAAGCAAACGATCTAAGGAGAATGTGGTCAGGACCTGCTCACACTTGGAGGAGCTGCTCCGACTGTGGGCCGGGGCTGAAGTCACTACGTCAGCGGTCACTTGGTAAAGATGACCAGTGCGACACAGGAGTGACACGGTCTAGTTGTCCAAGGGCAAATCTCCAGGAAGACAACACCAGCCGACTTGCACAGTAGCTGGGATGGTACACGTGCATGGAATGTGCACGTATGGTTATGTGCGCTGATAGAGAGCGAAGTGAGAGACCACAATGGTACCAGCACAGGAGGGAGGAATCAGGGCTCTCCTGTCCCTGAACCACATGTTCATTTACATCCCACCGGAAGGTACAAAGCTGCCTGTCATACACAGCCTTCTTCGTCGTTTTTATACAGCTAATCTAACTGGATAAGAGAGTCTGTCTCTAAAGTTTAATTTACCCATTTCCCCGACAGCTAATGGTACTGAGCATTTTTTTAACATACTGTCAGTCATTTGTATTTCTCCTCATGAGAAGTATCTATTCAGACCACTTCTCTATTTTTAAAGTGGATTACACGTGTCTGTCACTAAGTTTTTTTGAGTTCTTTATATATTCTGGATAGTAGTTAAGAACAAAATGGCGGTTCATCAAATAACTAAAAATAGATTTACCATGGGATCTGGCTATCCCACTTTTAGGTTTATATCCAAAATAAATAAAATCAGGCTTTACACACCTAAAGAGAAATGTTTTTGATGAAAAATATATGATGTGGAAAGATATTTAGAATAGAAAAAATAAAACATTTAAACAAAAAAGCAATAGCATATAAATTGAAAAAATTTTTAATGATCTCCACAAAAGAAATGAAAAATATTTTAAAGACCATTTTATTGAGGCTTAACTTATAAATGTAGAACATAGAAAATACTTCTGCAGTCTTAGTAAAACATTATTCACCCGAGTTTTTATAAGCAAAACAGTAGTAATATAGGGGTAGAGGACTAATACAGGCGTGCCGACTGCCTCACAGTCTGACACACTCACCACATAGACCCTCGCAGTTACCGATGCCCGTGCAGTGCGTGCTACATGTGACAAAGCATATTTTGTACAGAGGAAAAGTCATCATAATTGTAAGATTTGTTAGGTAATTTAAACTTCAAAAAGAACAGAACCGTTACAATGTTAAAGATATCATATACGCATGTATTTGTCAGAATTAAGAAAGCATAGCTACTTACCTAAATACCAAATCGAGTAAACTTCTAAACATAAAATGAGGCAATAATTGAAACTGCACTATTGTAATCTCAAAATATGACTACACATGATACTTAACATAAAAACAGCGAAAAAGTTTTTAAACATCCCATTCAAAAACTGACATTTTCAAGTTTGGTAGTATCAAAAAGATGGCACTTTCGGGCTGGGGATTTAGCTCAGTGGTGCTGCTGCCAGCCTTGCAAGCCCAAGGACCGGAGTTCAATCGCCGGTACCAAAAAAAACAACAAAACAAAAAGAGATGGTACTTCCAAAAATATTTCATCTTTTTTCATAATGACAGCTCATCATAAAGAATTTTCAATTATGTAATAAATCCTCCAATTTATTGTAAAGTCCATATTTAGTTGTCTTAAAATGGAAAATCTTGGTATCATTTACTCATTTAACAACTTTCAAGAATATCCAATCTAATCTCCCATTCAGGATTTCAACTCCCACAAGTTGTTTAATTTAGTTTCAAGGGATGTGGCAAGTTACGCCTCTCTCCTCTCCCTCCATGGTAAACAATGACGGTCGCACACTCTTTTTCCATCTTCACTAGTACAGGTTTGCAGTGCACAGTGGTTACCTCACGTGGAAACCGACACAGACACACAGCACATCTACCTCTTTCTCCAACCCTTTCCTTTCCTCTCTGTCCATCTCTTGGTTGCCTTCCAATTTACAAAAGATGTGTACTCTCCTTTTCAATATCATAAAATAATTCTATAATTCTTACCTGATACGACACCGATCCCATCGTCACAGTCGTAGTCGGAGATTTCACTATCACTTATCCTTTTGGACCCTGGAAAGGCAATAACAGTAATAACTGTAACTACAGATGAAGGGCAAACAAACCCTTGGCCACCTAAAAAACAAATGAAGAGATTTTAAATGATTCTTAAGAATAAAAATATAGAAAGAACGTCATTATGAGTTCACCAACACTTATTTTCACACCCGTTTCATGATGCGAGAATGCGGGTGAAGAGAAGTTAACAATAAACATAAGAATTATTCTAGTCATGTGCGTGACAAAGTCTAAGTGGTTAAAAACTAGAAAAATATGAAATAACTATGTAAATCACATGATGTCGATTAATAAAATCTATTAGAAAATAAGTTAGTATTAGACACTTTTGGACAAAGGCACTTAAGACTAGGCAAATTTCAAAATAGAAACAATGAATTGTTTTCAAAAGCATTACTGTATGTTTTCCTAATATGTATGATAAAGAAATTAAATATATCCAATTATTTCTTCATTATGCTCATGGGAAATAAGTTTAACTAAGAAAAGCAAACTTATTTGAGAGTTGTTAATCTTCCTTTTTCTTACTATTTATTTTAGCTATTTTTCAACTGCTTTCAGAAGAAATAAATAGGAAGAAATCATGCATAAAACCAATACATCAAACTATAAATTGTGCTGTTTTCTAAAAAACAACTTAAGATCACTATTATTACAATTTAAGAGCATCACGGGTGTATTTTCTCTTACAAAATGAATCAATAAAATCATTTTAAATGTTAATCCTAACATAACAAATAAAGTCATAGCATCAATGATTAAGGCAAGTTAGAATTCACACTTCATTCTGAAATATATCATGCGTGGAAATTAAGATGTTATTTGTTTTTGTGTATCTTTTTTCTTTCATCCGTGCCTCAGGATTTAATATACCTTGCACAATAAAATCTTTTATTAAGGCCTTTTTTTTTCCGTCCTTAGTACCAGAAGGATTTAGCTCAGTGGTTCCACCACCTGCTTCGCAAGCACAAGGACCCAAGTTTGATCCCCGGTACCAAAAAAACATTTAAGGATGAATGGAGACAATGTCACTATTTCCAAAAGTGGCTTGTTTTCTTTCTTCTCATACATATTATTCATTTAATGGATGAAACCAAGTTCAATAGAAAATAAATGGGGCTGGGGGTTTAGCTGTGGTGCTGCCGCCTGCCTCACAAGTGCAAGGACTGGAGTTTGATCCCTGGTACAAAAAAGAAAAAAGAAAAAAGAAAGAAAGAAAGAAAAAAATGCTTTCCTTATGGCTGATAAAAGCATGGAGAGCTCACATCATACAACACAACTAAAGCAGAGATGATCAAATCTTCTAAGAACGCCCTCCAACATTTACAGCCTACTCTTAGAAATATCTCTATCACTTTTTTCCTCTTACTTGTCTGCTTTCTTGCTGTTTTAGGATGGGAAAAGTCTCTGTTGCCAGGAGCCACAAGGTTCATTTTCTTCTTTTACTGCTCAAGAAGAAATCATTCCTGTACTTTTAACCCTGTGATTCCACCAAAAGAACCCTCGCTACTATTTTCCTTATGCACCCTGATGGCACAAAGTTTAGACACAACTCAAAGGCTTTAGTAGCCTCCACTGATTTCAAAGCTAGAACATTCTGACAACTTTCCGGCAGACCAGTCAGTAAGGATATAGAAAATTAGGATATACACTCTAAATGGACTTGGGCTCACAGAGAGGGGACCATGCAGGAGATTTCAGGAAAGGATTGCTATCCAGCCATAACAAAGTGTCATTTTGTAAATACTCAAGGGTGAGGGCAATGGTTACGGTGGCAGGTAGAACACATTATAAGCTTTTCATATTAGCCAAAGAGCAGATCAGATATAACACCAGAAAGACAAAGTTCGTATTGTCAGTCCCTGGGAGCTGTCCCAAATATGTGTGTGTATGTCAGGGTAGCGCACATGATTAATAAAAACGGCTTCCTCCTTGTATCTTACGTGTTTATTTTAGATTGGAATTTTTAAGTGTTTTATTAGTACCATTTGCATACATGCTTACATTCATTATATATGCATAGACAGACAGATTCTTTTTATTCCCTGTCTCTAGATGTTTTGATTTAATCCTATAAAATGTACATACATTGCAGTTTTATGTCAGTCTCTATTTGATCTTGTCTTTTAATATTTTGATGAATTCAAGTTCTGAGTTTTAGTTACTATATTAATTTCTTCTATTAAACTCATTATTTTCAGTGTCTTAAGAAACTTTTCTATGAGAGAAGCGTTGTCTCCTGTATTTTCTTCTGAAAAGTTTAAAAAGCTTGCTTTTTGTAATTCTGTCCTCTACATCATGAATTGAGTTTATGTGTATCTCTGCCGTGTGGACAGCACACATTTCAGCTTTATTTATTTATTTCATGTTTCATTCATCCAGCAGATTATGTACCAATAATCTCTCCTGGCATCTCTGTCATAAATAAACGTACCTTCTCTGCCAGGCGTGCTCTGGTCCTTTACATTTTCCCGTGCACAGGCTGTCTAACCACAGCTCACTGGCTGCATTATTATACTGTGATGCACTGAAAAGCAAATCTACCCCCACTATTACTGAATTTGTGTCTCTGACCTTGCCCTTTTGCTTTTCCATATGAATTTTGGATTCAGACTGTCAAACTGCACAAAAATCATTCTATTGGGATTTTTTACTTCTGCACTGAAACAAAACATTAACATTGGAACAACTGGCAAGTTTTATAGCACTGTTTGGCTAACCATGTAGGGGACATTTAGTCCACTTGTCTGTCAGTTCTATACAATTTTTAATTTTGGCCACTAAAATTTCCCACACCTGTTGGTTTTCTCTTTTGTAGCCTATAATTTCTAGTGTTTATATACACTGAAGTTACTTCTCTTGGTAAATACAAGGTGAAAATTACAGTGTTTCAACAGATGTAGAGAAGCCATTTGAAAAAGGGCAAACTACACTCATAAATATCTTAGCAGAATACAAGAAGGGAGCTTCGTCAAACTGATAAAGGGAATCTACAAAAATTCCATGGTTAACGTGACACTGAATTATGGAATAGTGAATGCTTTCCCCCGACACAAGTAAGAAAGTAAAATAGGTTTGCTACAAGTAGAGCCTTCTGCTCTACATTACACTGCATGTTCTAGACAGAACGGAAGAGAAATGAGTGGTGTCCACACTTCAAACCAAGAAATAATAGGATTGTGTAAATTTAAATTCCTAAAGAAGCACAAAAAATTCATGATGACTAATACATAAATGAACTTAGCAGAGTTGCAGGATGTACAATCAATATAAAAGTGAACTATATTTCTTAGAGAATTACCGATGAACAATTGGCAAATTAATTTCAAAACTAATATCATTTATAAGAATATCCAAGGGAGAGGGGATGAAGGGAGGGCAGGGACAAGGGGAAAAAATGAGAACCAAGACCTGTCATGCAGAGGTACCAGATCCCAGTAATGAATGTAACTGTACTGTATACCTAAAATGTACCAATAAACTCAATTAAAAAAAAAAAAGAATGTCCAAAATCATGAAATTTTCATGAATACATCTAACACAAAATAGTGCAAAACCTGTACATCCCAAGCCACAAAGCATTGCTGTATTAGTTGCCCAGGGCTGATATAATGAAGTGTCAGGAACTGGGTACCCTGAAACCACAGAAATTTATTGTGTCGGAGTTCTAGAGAATAGAAGTTCAAAACCAAGGTGTCGGTAGGGCCGTGTGCTTTCTGGTGACACCAGGTTGGACTCCTTATCTCTGTGAGCACCTGGTGCTTTCCAGCAGTCCTTGGTGCTGCTTTATCTGTACGCTCATCACTCCAGTTGGTGGCTGTCCTGTCCCTGTTTGGCCTCGTGTTCTCTTCCCCCTGTCAAGTCTGCCTGTGTTCCACACAGCCTTTTTCTATAGGGGCGAGGGCCACATTGGATTCGGGCCCACCTCAGAACCTCATTTTAACTTGGTTTCAATTTACAAATAAAGTAACATCCAGAGACACTAGAAGTCAGGATTTTAGCATTTCTTTGAAGAACAATTCAACACAAACAAATACTAACAAGTTAAACAAGATTTAAATAAATGGATGGAGATTTCTACAAAACTGGAAGTCACATACACTGAAATAACACTGTCACCACACTAAGAAAATAAAGTGATTCTAGGATTTTATGCAATGCTAAATTTCCCATCAGGAAAGAAGATGGAATAAAGGTATATTCAGAAAAAACAAAGACTGTTTCCAATTCTTCTTCACTGAAAGACTTTTTAAATAAAAGCACTTTAAAACATAAAGAAATTTGGGGCAGGATATATCGCCTACTGGTAGAACATATGCTTAGCATGAGGCCAAGTTTAATCACCAGCAAAAAAGAAAGGGGAGGAGGGAAGTGGAAAAAAAAGAAAATAGAAAAGTAAAGAAAGAAATTAGCTTATCCCAGAAAAGAGAATGGAAATACTTAAAAGTCTGAACAAACTGTGAACAAATAAAATAATAACGATTATAAAATAATTATAATAGTGATTCATCTGAAGGCGAAGGTAACGTTTCTGCAGCAGTGTGTGACATGGGAGGAGTGAGGACGGGAATCTTTGCAGAACTTGTACATTTTTATAAAAAAGCAGAAATGTGAACTAACCTTACTTTGTTCGAGTGGTAGATAAAAATGACCTACGCGAAGTTGTCTGTGTACTGTGTATCTGAAATTTGGGAGATGTCATATGCGAACTTTAAAACTGACATAAATGCATTACTTTTAAAAATTAATAGTATAATTTTACAAACATTTCATTTATAGATCAAAAGAATATAATTGTTTTGGAAAGACACCCAGCAGAGGAATAGCTGGGTCAGATAGAACCTCTAGTCCCAGCTCTTTGAGGTGTCTCCATATTGATTTCCATAGTGGTTGCTCCAGTCTGCAGTCCCACCAACAATGGAGAAGGGTTCCTTTCTCCCCACAACCCCCCCAGCATTTGTTACTGAGTGATTTCTTGATAGCAGCCATTCTTT